CTTTAGATTATTTGATTTATCAAAGACCCATTATATGTATTTTTTTTTTGTTTACTTCCTCTCAGTTTGTTCCTTTGCATATTCTAAAATGAAACCAACGAAAACACCCATTCAAATAAATTACACGTCTGTATATACATTTTAAATAGTTGATCCTTAACAAAATGTCTCATAATCATAAAGTATAAACGTTAGTTAATGCAAGATTAAAAATTAAATTCACAAAAGTGATTTTTTGGGTGTCTTAGCAAAAGTGGAAAATCATTTCTATTATACGAATCTATTCGCCGCACGGGTATGACGTGTCAAAATGTTCACCACTTTACCCAGAACGTTGCCCATTACGAAAACGGCACCGTATTTTCGTCTGCGAATTCCGAATCCCCCCTTTTCGTCGAAGAAAGCTCCTTCCTTGAAGAAGCTTGAAACCCTTAAATTTTGCTTCTTCCCTCGATTTTTGATTCTTTGGGGTAAGGTTTTTTGTCTATCTCTATGTTCATGTTTCTTAATCAATTCTTTTAACTCCGCTTTTGAATTCGTTTTTCGTCTTCTAGTAAAGTTTTCGCTGCTTTTACTTAATCTTCGGCTCTGTATAAGTGTGCATCGATTAGACTTGTATTACCCATTTTTTTTTATTGAAATTCAGCTTTTTTTCTCTTAGAAATTTGGATTGATCGACCAATTTCATTCCTTTTGTTACGCTCTTGTCAGTGATTGCTACGTTGGTTTGGTGTTGTTTCAGAGGAATCTAGGTCTGTAATTTATGATATTGGATGTTTCCTCGAGATGATATTAAGCTAAATTTAGGTATTTAGTTGGGATTGTAGTCCAGATTTTTATACAAGTTGTGAACTTTAGGTTTCTGGTAAAGAATAGGTATTCACGGAATTAAGTTATTTGTGTGTTTTATTTATATAGGCTCTAGTTCATTGTTTAAGTGTTATAAGGACCATACTTAACAATTACTTAAAACTATTCTCGCATTTTGTTAAAGAGAGAGTTGAGATTTTAGAATTGTGATTCTTGAGACTTTTTGCTTCATTTCTATAGTGCAGGGTTCGTGTTGGCATTCGTTAGTATCGGTCCGTTAGGCTGTGAGGCTTATGATCGGTGCTACTAACATCGCTGGCTAACACATTGACTCTGCTCGAAATATGGCCCTTTATGGTTCATTGCAGTTGTCCCATGCCCTGGGTATTTGCAGAAACCAAGGGTGCTATAAGCCAGAAAATGTATGTTTTGTTCCATTTTAGCCCTGGAATCGTTTTCTTTTAATTCATTTTCCTCCGTCGTCTTTCTAAATATGTGCTTATTTTTATAGAGTGTCATGAGAAGGAGGTTGCATATATCAAAGGATCCCCTCTCACTTAGTGTTTCGGTAATAATTTTAAGATAGCTTACTTTAGTCATTCAACTTGGTTTGCCGAAATGTAGTAACATATTATTCTTGTGTATACAGTTGGGGCGACATGATTTCAAGAATATTATACTCTCAGATTACCTTCGTAGGCCTATTTGTTCAGTACCATACAGAACCACCGCTTTTAGGTGTCATTCTTTTTCTGCAGGAGGCAAGGCAATTGAACCTGCTATTAAAGCTGCCACTGTGGTACTAACAAAGTAAGACCTCTTGTTTCCTATCTTCACATGCAGAATGACCACTTTGGGAAATTGAGAAACAATTAAAATTCCGTTTAGTTGATCTCTGTGGATCTGGAGGATTGCATACTAATCACAAGACATCTGAATCACAATAAATGAATTTATTCAACTCAAATAAATTGTGGAAGTAGCCGAACTACTGATCTGTGCATGCCTTCTCGTTGCCATTATTCCCCTTAAAAAAAGTTGTAATTTTTTTGTAAGGGGAATTATGAGGGCGGCATTTATGTTTTTTGGTATTTTTTCTTGTTCCTTTGTAATGCAGTCCGTAATATTTGGACTCTGTGGTTTGCAGGTCATACGGATTAATACAAAAATTCCCTCTTGTATATAAGTTGGCTCCAGCTGTTGCTCTTCTTGTTTTCTCCCTGTGGGGTTTAGTTCCTGTTGTTCGCCAAGGAAGAAACCTATTACTTAATGTAGGTTTAGCCATTTCAAGTTTATTTGTACTTTTTTTGCTTAATGCTTTCTGTTCTATGCTGCATCAGTTCAAATTAATGGTGCTACTTGTATATGATATTCTGAAACTTTGCCGTTAAAACACTGTAGAAGAATGATAACGGTTGGAAAAAGAGCGGTACATACTATGTTATGACTTCGTATGTTCAACCCCTGCTGTTATGGTTAGGAGCTCTATTCGTATGCAGGTATATCTATCAAGTAGTTCCTTGGGACTCTCTGAGGTTCATTGTTGAGATATTTTGATGTTATACTTATTTGAAGTGCTTTGTTGAGATAATTGATAGAAGGTTTATTTCTGGTGACCATTTCTTATATAGGGCATTAGATCCTGTTGTTCTTCCTACTGAAGCTAGCAAAATTGTAAAGGATCGGCTTTTGAATTTTGTGAGGTCATTGTCAACAGTACTTGCATTTGCCTACTGTTTATCAAGGTAAGCGTGCTGTCATTTCTTTTTGAAGATTGTTATGTGGTCATCTCATGACTTCTGATTCTGGTTAGCTGTTCCCATGCAGTCTTATCCAACAAACACAGAAGCTCTTCTCTGAAACAAGTGACCCAAACGATTCAAGAAATGTATGTAATGTAACACTCTTAAAAAAATGTTTAATTAACTTAGGATGTTTGGCCTATCTTACATGTCTTGTGTTACTCCAAGTGTCTGTTTGCAAGATCAGAAATCTAAATGGTTTCTCAATTTGTTTTGCCCATTTTTCCTTGTACTGGGACAGATGGGATTTCAGTTTGCTGGGAAAGCAGTGTATTCTGCTGTGTGGGTTGCTGCGGTTTCACTTTTCATGGAGTTGCTGGGTTTCTCTACACAAAAATGGCTCACTGCTGGAGGTCTTGGGACAGTTTTGATTACTCTTGCTGGCCGAGAGGTGAAACCTGAATCACGTTTTGATTACTAGTTTCTTCGGAATATTCAATATTTCCTTAATTGTTGTTTTTTCCTTTCTTATGAAAAGATATTTCCTTAGAACTGACTTTTTGCTATTCCAGATTTTGACAAACTTTCTCTCAAGTGTTATGATTCACGCAACCCGGCCATTTGTTCTGAACGAGTGGATTCAAACCAAGATTGAAGGTTATGAAGTTTCTGGTACTGTGGAGGTTAGTATCTTTGAGCTTAGATATTGTGAATCTTTCCTAGCTTCCATGCACGTCAGTCCTTTACCTAAACATTTCCTCAAGATGAGCCAGCTAACTTTCTCGAATGGTTGTTGCAATGCTTTCACAGCATGTTGGTTGGTGGTCACCAACAATCATAAGAGGTGAAGACCGCGAGGCAATCCACATCCCAAACCATAAGTTCACAGTCAATGTCGTAAGAAATCTTACTCAGAAAACTCATTGGCGTATCAAAACTCATCTAGCAATCAGTCACTTGGATGTCAACAAAATAAATGTGCGTTTCCTAATTCCCATATGGTTGTTAACTAAGGTAAGTACCAATCATCGAGTTTTATTAGCTGATCCTTGTTCTGAACTTCTCTAAACAGAATATTGTAGCTGACATGCGGAAAGTATTGGCCAAGAATCCTCAAGTTGAGCAGCAGAGGTTACATAGAAGGGTATTCTTGGAGAATGTCGATCCAGAAAATCAGGCACTCAGGGTTAGACTTCAATACATATTTCTTCTTTTGCACCCATCTTAAAGTGAAGATCAGATATTTCAGGAAGCATTGGATTGTCTGGTTCTTACATCTGATTGTCATTATTACAGATATTAATCTCGTGTTTTGTGAAGACGTCCCATTTCGAAGAATACTTATGTGTAAAGGTAAGTTGAAGTCTTTCATCTTATCATCTACCTAATTGCAGTCTTTTTCCTGGATTGGCCTAAGTTTTTACATTCTTGGCGAACAGGAAGCTATATTGTTGGACCTTCTTAGAGTCATAAGCCATCACCGAGCACGTCTAGCTACACCAATCCGTACAATCCGAAAGATGTACACAGACGCCGACATGGAAAACGCACCATTTGGAACATCAATGTACGGCCCTGGAGGTGTTGCTTCTCGGCGTCCTTTGATGCTAATCGAACCCGCTTACAAAATCAATGGAGAAGACAAATCGAAATCTCAAAACCGTGCATCAAAACAAACCGCAGAGGAAGAAAAAAAGGTTCCGAGTCCAAAGTCGAAAGAAACATCTTCTCCAGACCCAAAGGTGACCGTGAAAGTTGGAGAATCACCAGTTTCTGATTCCAACAAGGTACCTGATGAAACAAGAGTAAAGCCAGGAACCAAACTGGCTACCACCGCAGAGCTAGAAAACAAGGTTCCAAGTCCAAAGTCCAAAGAAACGTCTTCCCCAGACCCAAAGGCGACCGTGAAAGTTGGAGAATCACCGGTTCCTGACACCAACAAGGTACCTGATGAAACAGGAGTAAAGCCAGGAACCACCAAAGCGGTCTCTAAACCGGCTACCACCGCAAAGGATACAGCAGAAACATCAGGAGCTGAGAAACCAAAAGCCAAGAGAAGTGGTACCACAGTAAAGTCAACAAAGAACGATACGCAGAACGAAACAGATGGTTCGACATCATCCATATCTAGATCAGCTTTGGAAGAGAATATAGTACTGGGTGTTGCACTAGAGGGCTCAAAGAGAACACTTCCAATTGAGGAAGAGATACATTCTTCTTCTTCGTCCACGGAAACAGATGGTAAAGAACTCACCGGTGCTCGTAGATCCGGTGGAAACGGACCATTGGTGGCTGATAAAGAACAGAAAGATGTACAATCTCAACCAAGCTCAGGTGCTACGAGCGAGCAGTGAGATACATTTTTTAACACTCTTTGATGTAACACACGATTGAAAATTAATTGATTTTTAGTGATCACAATTCAGGAAGTTGGGGGTTGTTAATGTTATATAATTAATGTTTGGGTGGTTTCGAGATAGTTTGGTGAAAGTATGGGGTTAAATCATAAATATCGAAAGATGACGGTTGAGTAGTAGCTCACCTGTCTCTCTCTCTATTCATTATATCATAAATGCTTCAACTTTCCGATCTCTCCGCCATTAAATCTGACTCTCTTGCTGGAATCTTTCTAGCTGAAGTCGCTATCTCCAGTTTCCATGGCGGGATTTCTCTCTGTCGTAAGGCGCGTGTACCTCACTCTCTACAATTGGATCGTCTTTGCTGGATGGTAAAGTCTCAAAACCCTCTTCACTCTTCTTCTTC